TTGGTGAGAATGTCAACGAGCGACGAGAAGGCGTTTGCTTGCTGTTGGCCCCAGGTGAATGCGACATCCGTTTTGAGGAGGCAGGTTAGAGGACGGGCTACTTCAGCAAACTTCTCGACAAAACGACGGAAATAGGAGCACAGTCCCAGAAAACTTCGGACGTCCTTGGCTGAGTGGGGTGTGGGGAAGTCGCGAACTGCTCGGACTTTCGCAGGGTCTGGTTGAAAGCCCGCAGCGTTAACAAGATGGCCGAGTACGCAGATTTGGCGTTGCCCAAAGCGGCATTTGGACGAGTTAAGTAGCAAGTTGGCACGTCGAAAAACATCAAGCACTGCGGACAGACGGGTAAGATGGTCGTCGAAAGTAGTCGAAAAAACAATAACGTCGTCAAGATAGCAGAGGCAGATGGTCCACTTCATGCCTCGAAGGAGAGAGTCCATCATGCGCTCAAATGTTGCGGGGGCATTGCATAATCGAAAAGGCATCATCTTGAACTGATAAAGTCCATCAGGAGTCACGAAGGCCGTCTTCTCTCCGTCTTTGTCGTCCACAGCGATCTGCCAGTAGCCTGAGTGAAGGTCTATTGAAGAGAAATATTTGGCACCGTGCAAGCAATCGAGTGCATCATCTATGCGCGGTAGAGGATAGACATCTTTCTTGGTAATATGGTTGAGATGGCGGTAATCAACACAGAATCTCCAGCTATTGTCCTTCTTTTTAACAAGTACAATGGGTGAGGACCAGGGACTAGATGAGGGTTCGATTATGCCCTTATCAAGCATTTTATCGACTTCTCGCTGTATAATAGCACGCTCCGGGGCTGACACACGGTAGGGTCGTCGGCGAATGGGTCGAGCGTCACCGGTGTCGATGCGATGGGTTATCACAGATGTCTGGCCCAAATTACGGTCGCCGAAGTCAAAGATGTCCTGATAAGAAACAAGCACATGGCAGAAAGCAGAGACTTGTTCAGAGGTCAGCTTGTCAGATAGCATTGGCTTGAAAAGGTCGGAACAGGAACGTGACGAGAACGACGTTGATGAAAAATCGGGTGGCGAATCGGTGGTTAGAGCGGAAACTGTGTGGTCGACCAGTGGTGTAAGATGCGCAAGTGACATGCCGCGAGGAATAACTTGCGCTGAGAGGCCGAAATTGAGGACGGGAAACGAAGTTCGGTTGTCCTTAACGGTAACCACCGTGTTGGGGAGTGCAACATTGCGTGTCATGGCGACGTCAGAAATTGGGGCAGCAACATAATCACCATCGGGTACAGCAGGATATGGCGAGAGTTGGACTTGGACTGCGGCTTGCGGCGGAAGTCTAAGGAAATCGACAGAGCGTAGACGAGGTGGGCTGGTAGAGACGGTCTCCGAAAAGGATGGTAGTTCGAGTCGAAGAAGACCTTTGGAACAGTCAATGAGCGCAGCGTGTGAAGTCAGAAAGTCGAGTCCAAGGATGAGGTCATGAGGGCAATTTTCTAGTACAGCGAACATAACTGAAGTTTGATGCTCAGAAATTGTTAATCGCGCAGTGCACATTCTAAGCACAGCAGGAGTACTCCCATCCGCTGTACGAACGGTAGGTGCAATCGCAGGCGTCAGAACTTTTTGGAGGCGGCGGCGGAGGTCTGAGCTCATCACAGATATTTGTGCACTGGTATCAATAATAGTAGTTATAGGTAAACCATCAACGAGAATTGTAAGGAGGTTGCACCGCTGGTCGGGAGTAATCAGAGGATTTGCAGTCCAAGTCGTGTATGCAGCGTAAACTCCGGGGGCTGCACCGGCTAGTTTTTCGAGCGACGGTCGTAGGGAGACCGAGAACGGCGGGGTTGGGGCGAGCGGGACTGACGACGCACGGGCGATGGCGAGCGGCTGGTCCGACGTTCTGGATTATGCTCTGCACCTGTCTTAGCACGGTAGGGCGAGGCATAAGGTGCACGTTCAGAGCGAGGCCGCCAATCATAGAAGCTTGGTCGAGGTGATGAGGTCCAACGGCTGCGGCAATGGCGAGCGATGTGTCCTATCCGATGGCACGTGAAACATATGGGCCGAACATCATGAGTGCGCCATTCAGCTGGGTTTCTTCGTGGCGCGAACGTGCGGTTCGGAGTGGCAGCCGCAACGACTGGAGCCGAGCTGGAAGTAGCAGGGATATTTTGATGAGGTGGCGAAATGCCCATATTCGCGATCTCTTGGTGAACCACGGCCTGTATCATTGAAACAGCATCGAGGTTGTGTCCTGGCGCGCTGACGCTAAACATAGCGGGAGCCATAGCCTCGAGTTCCCGACGGACTATTCTGGTGGCGTTTTCTGGCGCTTGTGGTTGGTGTAGTGTAGGCAAATCTTCGCAAGAGGACGTAGCCGCCGTGTTGGGAAGGTGGTCAAATCGGTGAACTATGCGTCTACTTTTTGCCTGTTCGAAGCGACGACATGCTTCGATGACCGACTCCACCGTTGAGCAGTCCTTGCACAGGAGAAAATTGAAGGCGTCATCCGTAATTCCTTTCAGGATGTATCCGACTTTGTCCTCGTCGATCATGTCCTTGTCGACCTTGCGGCACAAAGCCAACACGTCCTGGATGTACGCGATGTACGGCTCTGTGGATGTCTGGGCACGAGTCGCAAGCTCTTTCTTTGCGGCCACTTGACGTCCGATGGGTTTCCCAAATAGATAGCGCAATTTCTGCTTACAGACGTCCCAGCTAGTCAACTCGTCTTGATGTGTCTCGTACCAGAGTTTTGCCGTGCCATGCAAGTAGAAGATGATGTTCGCCAACATAAGCGTCGGACCCCAGTGGTTGCTGCTGCTGACGCGCTCATATTGAACCAGCCAGTCATCGACGTCTATGCCACTTGTGCCGTTGAATGGACCTAGGTGACGAGGTTGCACCACAATGATCGGCTGCGGGACTGACGGATCTTGTTGACATTGAGTAGCCTGGTCCATCATCGTGGTAGCTGCAATGCGCCGTCCGCTGTGAAGATCCAGCTCGTTGGGCTGTATAGCGAGTGGTACCCCGCACCTTCCACCAATGATGTTACGGGGAATAAAGTATACACTGGTGAGCAAATGTGTACTGGTGAATATACTGGCGAGCTAATGCGTACGACGCTGCTGCAGTCCGAGCACGTTCCCGTTCAGCACTTCGTCGTCGTCATCCTCAGGCATCTACTTAGCCCGTGACAATATAACGTATCTGAGACTTGCAACACATATAAACGCGTTAGCCTGAGGTAGAGAACCCCCATCTCCGCTGTTTCTTCGCTGTCCGAAAACCAGAGTTCATGAAATTTTTTCTGATATTTGCAGTTTCGCCCACGTAAATCTTCAGTATCCTAGCAGAGATCGTAAACTCATGTCTATACAACCCCATCTCACTTTTACATATAAACCATCAACTCCCGAAGTATGTTGAAATAAAGTAACACGAGGAGATGTTTATAAACTCTTCAGTCAAAAAACTTTTCAGCGAAAACATACATGAAATAAAATGACTTCGAATTCGTTATATGAGTAAGGGGCACAGACCTCGTCAAGCCGTAATGTGGCTTTTTGTCTGTGTCCCTGTTATCTGTACAATGTATAGATGCGAAATAAAGTTCAAGTTCAAGTTCAGTAAGTTTATTCAGCTCTAATACTTTTCGCAGAAAGAGCCTACCAAGTGCTCAAATCTTTGCAAATCTTTCGCTCACATTTATTTGATTTTGTGTACCCTGTTAAATACAAGTGGAATTTACATCTTAAGAACTTGCAGGGGACTAAGGTAATGTAGCTAATAAGTACGCCATGATTTTCGCGAGATGATTAGCGAAGTCCTTTTTTTTCTGTAAATATTTGACCTGGCATATGGAAGCTGACCCATAGTTGTACCTTGGCTTTAAAATGCGATGCTGTGCTGTTAACCCCAATGACGCACGTTTGACCCCTCGCCATGGCGGCCACAATTCGACAAGGGTGAAAGGACTCATTTACATAGATTTAGGTTCGTGTGTAAAAACTCCACGTGATTAAAACGAATTCGGGGTATCGTACAACGCGCCCCATAGCCATATCGTACTACCGGCACGTAAAGCTCCAGAAATTATCATATGAGAACCACGACTATTGACCTCAGCTGTTTGTTCCTATTAAGGACCACACCACAAGTGATCACTTGGAGATTCAGGTTATATTACAGATTATAGTCTTGAATGAAACACCCCCCTCTCCCGCTTTATATGGCTTGTGCTATCCTTCCTACAATAATCACCGTTGCATTCCGATTCCTTTATAAGAAAGTCGAAAACGATATCATCACTGAATAATTCTGCTTGATAACGCGTGTGTCCGAAACTGTAAGGAAATACTTTAGGCATACTCCTGTGAATAGGTGAAATTGACATATAGGTCGTTTTAGGGTGCCACGATGTCATGGGCAATGAAAGACGATTGTTCTCTTGAAAAGAGGGAACAATATCAGCATAAAAAGCTATTCTATATCAGATCGATAGGCTGTGCCTGTTCTTCACGCATGGAAGTTCTCTGAAGTGAGAGAGAGATGTCTTAGAAGGGACGAACATGCAGTCCTCAAGTTCACTTCGAATATCGCGAGTTTGTGCATGTAGTATCTCGTTCTCAATATACCACGTAGTGCTGCATCATATCTGCATATAGGGCAACAAAAATGCATTCTCCTAAAAGTGAACCTTAGTAGGTGGGTCCTTACATTACTATATTTACACCGCTAAACCATCAACCGCATGCACCAAACGAGTTTAGCGAAAACGCTCCGTCAGCATCTGCATCATGACATTCGGTAAAAAGAGTTGAGTTGGAATGCAACCGCTGTAACAGAGTGCTTGCGTTTTGGGGGAGAAATATTACAGCAAGAGTCATGCTTTTTAAGTACATATGAATGCATGCATTGATGCTTTTTCAGAGCAAAAGTACATGTGCATTGAATTCTGGCCACGTTAAGCGTCTGATAACGTTGAGACGATGTAGCGACTCAACATACCCAGCCAACGGAAAATGTCCCTCGTATGTGGCCGTTCTTGCCACATCGTCGATCGCCTTACGCTCCACTGTCCAGCAGTTGAAGTATGTGTCGTTGTCAGAGTCGACGACCGCCACGGCATAGGGGAAGCTCTGCATTACCTTGGGAAAGATGGACGCAATAATATTAGCGCATTTATTCTAACTAGAGATGCTGTATAAATCGTGAAATTTCAGTGCATTGCAAACGGTTGAATATTATGAGATATAAATAATGGTGGGCATCCTTGAGCTCAACTATCAATTAATTGCCAAAACCAGTACTGGGCAAGTCCGAAAATTAAAAGAATGTTCACAAGCGACAACAACTATCATTCTGTCGAAGTCTACAAAAATGCGGATGAAAAGTGTGATTATTCAATATTTGTTATTGTATTTGTGGTCAACACTTACGAACACACTATGTCGCAACGAGGTTATTAGGAAATGTACAGTGTCATCGAAAAGCTCATACGAGAACATGTGTAGATACTTTGCTTTCATTTTGTTATGTTTCATTATGCGCTGCCAATGAATGGTTTACTTTTTAGCATAAACTTGAGTGTTGATGCCCTCGCTATGTAACTATTTCTTTGTAGTGAACCTACAAAGAAATAGTTACATAGCGAGGGTATCTAAACCAGACATGGACATATCTTTCACTGAATTTTATTGATGCTGCTACACACATGTAAGTACTCAGGAAGCTAGTTAAATACTCGCAGTTATGACGGTAAACATCGTCTTCACGGCTATAATGTTCATTATATGCCACGAACAGTAGTGATGCCTGCTCAAAACAGTGTAAGGGTGTTTTTGTGCACAACCATCTTGTAGACTTGTGCTCTTGCTCTTCCTATGGCATGAATTGTTGGGTATGTCAGAAGAACACACACAAAAAAACGATGTAAACAGAAAGAGATTTTTCCATGTTTGTGTTCGTTCTACCGTGGCCCAATTATTCCTATCATAGACATCCACAATATCACCCAACAAGAACTTCTGAAATACATGCACGTTTATGAATCTCAATGTATGCTTATTATTTCAATGAAAGCTTAACTTTTCTCTTTCACTGATGAAGTTTGATTCAATGATGTCTATTATTCGCATAACACAAACAAATATGTAAAAATGTCAAAGTTTATTTCACCAGAAAGTTCTCGATAGTCTTCAGGATTACAAGCTGCTCTAAGTAGCTTGTCTGGTCCCTAAAAACCGTTACATCGATAGCATGCGACGTTTACAGCACAAAAGAGCATGTGAAATCGTATTGAAACATACGTGAGTTCTAATGTAAGAGTTGCAGTTAGGATTACATCAAGTAATAAGAATAGCATACAGAGAGTCACAAGAAGATTTACAAAACACACATAACCCCACGTGGTGAGCTGTGATCATTACTCTGTCGGTGTAATAGAGCCCTCAATTGGTACAAAATCTTATCAAAAAACAAAAAAATGTAAACAATGAGGACTCCAAAACAATTCTAATTACGCGTAAATGCGATAGCATTAAAGTATATTTGGAAGTATAGGGACATTCTGGCCAATTTTATTTTTAGTTTTGTTGAAATTAAACGCACATCGATGTTTCATTGATTATAATACAGGTGTAAACAAGATAGACACCTTCTGAGACGCAGTTGTTCCGACGGTTGAAAGTGCAGCTGTAAAAAGATAGTTTGCGATGGCTCAAGTCTGTGTCAATCCACACGCCTATGTTGGTGTAGTGGGGCATCACTCAGGAGGGGTAGGATGCATCTAACACAATGATTCATGTGTCTGGGGGGACACTTATAAGTTATAGCTAAACATCAAGCATTAAAGGGGGTTGCTCAAACTTGGCTACACCGATGGTATTTGATGCTGCTAGCTTCATTGCAGTGTCCGTAATTGCTAAAGTCGGCGTATTTTCCTTAAGAGAAAAACAGAACTGAGAGCTCTTTTCTGTGTTGTGTGCTCCTATTACTGCTCTCGGCCCAAGGCATGTAATGAACATCATTTTATTTTGTTAATAGTGACAAGAAAAACAGTCTATTTTGTCACTTGAATATCTGTACAAAATTTACTAGGCCAACTGGTTTCACAAATATCATGTTAATCATTACCAAAATCTGACATGTCGTTGTGAGCCTCATTGAGAGTCAACGGCAAATGTGTCCACTTCACTTCAAGAACAGCAATTCTTCAAGTGAAGTCTTCAAGTCTTGGCTGTGCTGCGTTCTTCTTTTAAAACCGCCATGTTAACATCTGTGAATTTTTGTTGAATCATATGCCTTTCCATCGAACATGTTCGAACTTTTGTCTGAAATTTTTAAAGGGCGAAGCACGTTAAGAATTTCTGACCAGCTTCAATTCGTGCCCCGCAGTGCGCAGTCGTAGTGCAACGCCCATACGTACGTATCGGAGAAAACAAAGAATATGGACCATCTCCCCTGATGGAATGCGAAGCAGTAGCGGTGCGCACGGCGTTGACCCGGCTGAAACGGCCGTTGACGCAGGTGCTGCAAGAATGATTTGAAGCAAAACTCGGTCTGCCGTTTACTCGAAAGAACGTTTGTTTGAAACGCAGACATGGGAGGTGGGTTTTGTTTCCTGTAAATTTCATCACAGAGACAGTGTTCGATCCATGTGCGCTCGAACTTCGCGAGCGGTGAGAGAGTGAAGCAATAGGAAAGCGTAAGTCTAGGGAGAGAGGGACGTCAACGCACGCGCACGCGAGAAAAGGCGTGATCTACTTGGCACTGCTCCAACATCTGCGGCCAGCGGAGCATGGTGCGGACGGAAAGACAGCGTTACACAGGCTAGTTGAAGAGCTGCTTCGCATTTAATAGACCGTTCTCCGGCAGGCATCACGCGAGAAATAACGGCATCGATCAACTCCGTTACAGCGTAATGCCGGCGGGGGCCGATGATATAGGCAGCCGCTCTATACGCGTTCCATTCAGTCGTGCCACTGCCCTAGAATAAAGCGAACGTAAGGAGCTCTATGCAGTGGCTAAGCGGCAATGCCGCCTGTAGGACCCTGACCTGAGAGCTCGAGAAGTTGCAGCGATACGGCAATGTCGACCGTAAGACCCAGAGCTGAGATCGCGTGAATATTTATCAAACATTTTCATTTCACGTATGATTCACAGTATGCTGCATGTGGCTTCTCTCATCGTCATCATTTATTTCGCAACTGCGAAAATTTCTTAAAATGCGAAGCAGTTCTTTACGTCATGCCGGCTATTTTAGCGCGTCTATATGCTCATCTATATACGTATCCATCTAGTCGCCTCTGTGTGGGTGCCCTCGTGATCACCCCTTCAACTTGGTGCAAACTAAAATTAGTGTGTGACGGTGAGATGGTTTGATGAATATGACTCACTGATTGTCACGTGAATAATGCGAGACTCCCGTCAAGTACATCGTCCAACGCTTTAGGCGACATGTGCGGCACATACCTGTATACCATGGATGCGTGGGTGTTACAGGTAAGGGGGTATGTGCCACAGCTAATTGACATGAGTGTGCACAAGAGCATTTTCGTGCAATTTTTTACTTGAAGTACTTGAAACCATGGGGGATAAAAATTCGGGCGACATGGGCAATATTGCGGTGACCCTTGCTGAGAGGCAGCCTAATAGCATTAAAGAGGTCGTGAAATTTCTAGGTGATCTGGTGGGAAGACTTGACGTGTTCTCGACTGAAGTTAAATGTGAAATAGCTAAGGTCGCTTCTTCGAACACTAAAATAGTCACTGAACTTGGAAGTGTTCGAGATGCTTTTGCTTTCATGAATGAGAGTTTTGAGCTCTTTAGGACTGAGGTGGAGGCTTTTCGCAAGGAGATTGAAGTGGTAAAGGCTGAGAGTGCACAGTGTCGTAAGAAAAACGAAGAATCGCGGAGGGACCTGAAAGAAGCTAGACGGGAAATTGTAGAGCTGAAGCAATACAGCCGAAATATGAATATTGAAATCCAAGGTCTTCCGCTAATCGAAAAAGAAAACTTGGAGAAAACTGTCGCAAACATCGCCAAGTGCTTAGGAAATGATGTCACAGATAACGACATTAACGTCGCGCAACGTGTATTATCGAAAGATAAAAAGAAAATCAAATGTGGTCATCAGATTTCTAACCAGAACGGCGCGAGACAAGATGTTGTCCGCAGCAAAAAAGATTAAACTAGATAGCACTCGTCTTGGTTTTCACAACAGTAACCCTGTATATATAAATGAACACCTGTGCATGGAAATGAAGGTTCTGCTCAGTAAGGCACGGCAAGCAAGGCATGAAAGAGAATGGAAATATGTATGGGTATCACAGGGCAGGATCTTCATGCGGAAAGCAGACAGGACATCTGTTTTAAATGTAACTTCTGAGGCGGATCTGGCTAAAGTAGTCTAGCTTAATAGTAGACTTATATTTCTGTTGTGAACAATGGCAATGTATTCCAGCGTTTCTGAATTGAGCTCGTATGTAAGTGGCCGTCATAGGCAGCCCATGACATTCCTTCACATTAATATGCAGTCAGCTCGTTCGAAAGAAGAAAACTTTCTTTTGTTTCGTGATGAGTTCAATTTTTTCTTTTCCGTTATTATGATCACTGAAACTTGGTACCGTAGTGAAACAGACGTGTTTTGTATTGACGGATATAATGTTGTGTACCAAAATAGAAAATTGAGAATTGGTGGTGGTGTATGCTTGTATGTCAAAGCTGAAATAACGTATGAGTATCGTGAAGATCTGTCTCTGTGCACCAATGACCTTGAGGCGTTAACTTTACAGTATCACAACTACATTTTTGTTGCAATTTACAGGCCACCAAGTGGCAATTTTGATTCATTTGTTCAATATTTAGAAAACCTATTTTCCATTGTAGACCAATTAAATACAAACTAGTGCTGGGAGGTGATCTTAACATAGATATGTTGAGCGACACACATAAACATATCAGACTTTCAGACCTTTTTGCTTCTTTTTTCTTAACAAACGTAATTACAATTCCAACACGTATTACTGATACCACTTCTACTCTATTAGACTTGTTTATCACAAGTAGTACAAACAGTACGTTAGAGGCAGGCGTCCTGCGTGCCCCGATAAGTGATTATTTGCCCATATATCTAGTCATAGAAAAT